TGTACCAACATCATGGGTTGTCATTTTACAGAACCTAAAATTCATGAAGATTGAGTGCATGCCGAATGCTAGAGAAGCCCAAGAACGCCCCGCACCAGCCCAATACCATACAGACGTCATAATTCATACATGTTTCAACCGCACATGGATGAGGCCAGAACATAGTCGCCGCTGGCAACCTGCCTCCACGTGCTCGTCACCGTGGCCTGCTGTACCTTCATCTTGACGGTACCGTCACGCGCCGGCGGCCCATGGCTGCGGTAAAGAGTGACGTCGTAGACAACGGCGACAGCCATGAGACCAATTTCAACAGTGTACGACTTATGTATCCTGTAGCTCAGAGGTCCCTCGCAGTCCTCGAGGGCCTCCTCTAGAGTGGGCTCCGTCTTGGGACCTCTGGGGTTCTTGTCACCGAAGAGGAGGTAGTTGGACACGACGGCATCCTTGCCCATGTACTTGAAGGCGCTGGAAGGCTTGTCGCAGAGAGCGCGCCAGAAGAGCGTCTCGCCCTCCATGGCGGCCTTGAAGTTGCGCTCCTTGATGGTGTTGGGGCGGTCACCCTCTTCCTCGTCGTCCTCCTCATGCTGTCGGATGCGCTCCTCTCGCTTCCGAGAAACATTGACGTCATTGTCAGAGTCGTCCTCGCTGTCGCCGTGACCGCTGTCGCGGCGTGAGTGCTTTCGGCGACTGGACTTCTTCTTGTCCTTCTTGTCCTTCTTGCCATTGTAGGCCTTGGTGAGAGAGTCGCCGGCGCGTCGGGCAAGCTGCTTGCCCATGTCATCATTGTCGTGGTTCTGTTCGCCCATGAAGGGCTCTTTGCTGTTCAGTCCGTGCGGGGACTTGTCCGTGGTGAGACCGAGCATAGAAGGCATCTTGAAAACTGTGAAATGAAATCGAGTTGCTGGATGGGTGTTGGATTGAAACTCGTGGAATCTGGATATGTCGGGTTGACGACTGCGATGGATGAGGAAACAATGCTCCAGATGCACGGCAAAGACGGGGAGAGGCTCTTGAAGAAGCAGCACAGCAACGCGTCAGAGGCCATGATGTACCGCATACTCGGCCGTGCTGCCAGGATTACTGCCCATCCCGGGGCTCGACAAACTTGTTTACAGCTGGGTCAAGGCCCAGGATTCGTGGTCATATTGAGTCGATTGGTTCTGGATTTTGACGTCATGCCCGCTGATGTCAGTGGTCGTTAGTGGCGCCACAACCGTTGGCCGAAATGACGTATCCGCAGCGGGGTCCAGGGTTAGGGTCGCATCGATCGGTCCAACGTCGCATCCCGTCGGCTTGGACTCATGTCGAAGCTGGACCCTGGCTCTGCTTCCAATAAAGGTCAAATGGCAGCAACCTGGGTCGACAAGCTCACGATAACCGTGTTCACATCGCTTCCAGCCTCACATTATCAACGCAACTCAAGCGCTCACAGTTGTTCCTATTCCTCGTCCTCCGGATTGCGATCAGCTGCAGTTTGATTGGCTCAGGTAAAGAGGCACCAAGATAAGGACGGACCAGCATCGCACATTGCTTCATGATCTGTCCAACACTTCCTTTCCCACACATACGACCATACCTACTGGAAAGCTCGGGATCCCGTCCGCTCTCCCATCGATAAACCAGTAAGGGCCGGATTAGTAGTTGGGTGGGTGACCACTAGCGAATACCTGGTGTTGTATGTTTTTGGTTTTTAAGATTTTGTCCCTGGTGGGCGACGGGATTGATCAATGGTTGAAGGTCTATGAGAACACCTTCGTGATAACTGGCGATATCTATTTTGCTAGCTGCTATGGAATTCATTAGTGAATGATACTCTACCTAGTAAGTGGTTTGGTGTTATATGTTTTTAGTTTTTAAGATTTTGTCCCCGGTGGGCGACGGGATTGATTAATAGTTAAAGGTCTATAAGAATACCTTCGTAATAACTAGCAATATCTATTTTACTAGCTACTATGGAATTTATTAGTAAATAATACTCTACCTAGTAAGTGGTTTGGTGTTATATGTTTTTAGTTTTTAAGATTTTGTCCCCGGTGGGCGACGGGATTGATTAATAATTGAAGGTCTATGAGAATACCTTCGTGATAACTAGCGATATCCATTTTGCTAGCTACTATGGAATTCATTAGTGAATAATACTCTACCTGGTAAGTAGTTTAGTATTATATGTTTTTAGTTTTTAAGATTTTGTCCCCGGTGGGCGACGGGATTGATTAATGGTTAAAGGTCTATAAGAATACCTTCGTGATAACTAGCGATATCTATTTTACTAGCTATTATGGAATTCATTAGTGAATAATACTCTACCTAGTAAGTGGTTTAGTGTTATATGTTTTTAGTTTTTAAGATTTTATCCCCGGTAGGCGACGGGTGTTACGACCTGGCAGCTTCTAAAGAGGAACACTATCAGAGGGGGTTAGGGTTACTATTTAGTAGAAGCTTAGGTTATAACTCTAAGACGATATAGTATCGTAAAGCGTTACGTACTCGTTATAATAAATATAAAGTAAGACTTAGATTAATTACTATCGTAGGAAAGAGTATATCTATAAGTATAAGAATATCTATCCTTTTATACTTATTTCCCTATCCTAAGTTAATCGGGTTAGCGAGCCTATATTAGATAGCTTATTTATTAGTTATTAATAATCCGTAATATTAGGATTATAGTATATTAGCTAATAAGCCGGTTATTAGTTTACTATTATATTACTAGTAAGCTATTACGTAACCTACTAGGTAGGTCCGTTCCTATCTTATCTCGTTTCCTTAACCG